TAATTAGAGGAGTTTAAGCCAGAGGCAAAAGACCCAAGTGGTTCATAAGTTTAGAAAACAAGTATTGGAGTTTAAAGATCAAAGAATCTGTAAGAAAGAGTACCAACACAAGTTAGTAATCTGCCTTTTATGGTTTTGACAATTTGGTCTAAAAAGAAAATGTTAACTGTTTTCTCGCAAAAACTATTTGTATCTTCAATATTGAGCAGGTCTACTATTTCAGTTCCTTGTTTCTCTAACATTAGCCCTTTTTCTATCTTTGAAGCTTGAATGTTTATTTCAAGATTATTTGCTTCTTGAAGGATTTTGTAATTAATATTGTGTTAGATTTTTATTTTGTCTAATCTTGTTTTACTGAGAGCTAAAATACAAATGCTGCTCTTGCAGTCTAGTTGTGCCTGTTTTAGTCTTAACCAGGTTATCTGTCCAATCTCTTTATGGTTGTTTAATCTGGCTGTTAGTTCTGTTATATGATGTGCTATTTGGTTTTGCCATATTGTTTTAAGTTTAACAATGTTTTTATGTACAAACACTGCATTTGCTACTGTTTTAGCCATGCCGGCTTTGTTTTTAATTAGGCTGAGGATAGGGCTTTGAAGCTTGTTGCATACTTCTTTTGGCAGAATATAATGCTGTAGTCTATACTCAATTCTTGGTAAGAGAACTCTGTTGTTTAAGTAAACCAGATATGCTAGCAAAACTTTTTTTCTTTTTGAGCATATTGACTATCATATTTACTTCATTTTGAACTATATTTATTGCTATTCTTCTTTCTGTTTTTGCTGAGAGCTACACTCCTAGAAATCTAGTTGTTTCTTTTTCTCTTTTAATTAGGATCTGTTCGCCTACTTTTAATTTTAAGTAGTTCTCCTCTTTCTTGTTTTTATTTACAACCATTAGCTCTGATTTCTTTGTGTTGATCTCAATGTTATTAATTTTGTAAAAACTTTCTGCAATTTCTAGGATCTTTTTGAGCTCTTCTTTGGAGGTTGTGATATATATTATATTATCTGTATAGGCGATTATTTCAATTCTTCTTTTTTGCTTTTCTATTTTATTTGTCTTTAGGTTTGTCAGCCAATCTACCTAAACTTCGTATCCTACTTCTTTCTTTTTTTGTATCGTGACTAATAAAGAGTCATAAAAAATTTTCTATACTAGAGGAGAAATTACTTCTCTCTGGTCAATTCCATCTTGCACCTGGAACTGCTTTGTTGGGCTGTATTTGGTTAAGTCCTCCATTTCTCTTTTATTATAAAGATCTATAATGAAGCTTCTGGTTTTCTCTGGGATTTTTATTCTTTTTAGTACCAGGTTTAGTATTTGAAAGCTCACTAAATCAAAGACTTTTTTTATGTCTTGAAAAAATAGTCAGACCTCTTTATTTTTTTCTTTAGTATCTTCTAGAATACAGTTAATTAGCTGTATTGGTGCTGCTGTTCTTTCTTCTGGCAGTTCTGCAAAGTTTCAGCTCTTTAGTACTTCTTTTTCTCTTAATATTTTGCTAAGCCTATTGTTTACTATTCTGTTTTTCAGAAAGTATCTAAAAGTAATATGAGTCAGATATTGTTTAGTTTGTATCTCCATTCTTCTTTTTTTGGTATCGGGTAGAGCATCCCAATTTTCCACTTCTTGGTGATTTTTCCAGATTTTATACATGCAGATGCTAAGCTGATGAATCTGCTTTTTGCAAACCTTCCTATATTTTTAAGTAGAGAATAAGGTATTCCTAATAACCCTGGAGCTGACTCATTTTTCATTTGGAATAGAGCTAGGTCCTTCTCTTTTTGCTTTACTCTCTCAGTTAGTCTTTCATACCACTTATTTTCTATACTTTCTAATGGTTCATACTTTTTTTTCCAAAATGATGAGAGTTTATCTATTTTTGTATTTTTTTTTCTGAACTGTTTTTGAAAATAGTTCTTAACTGATTCAAGTACTTCTTGTGAACTATATACTAGCTCTTCTTCTGCATTCTCCTCTTCTTCAAGTAATATTTTGTCTAGCTTCAATTTGTTTGTTGGTTTTTCAAGTAAGCTGTTGATCATCTTTTTTTGGTCGCATACTATTATTGCATGCCTCTTCTTGATATGTTCTTGAATTGTCTTTTCCTTTTCTTTTCTTTTTTTTGCCTACTATATTTTGTATAGCCCTTTTTACCACAGCTCGAGCTCAGCTTTAGCATTCATTTTCTCCCATTCCTCTTGTGTTTTCTCTTTAGAGGAGATATTTGTAAACTTGTTTTCTAGAACCAATAACCATTCTTTTGCTAGCTTGTCTATTGGGTCTTCTCTGTCAGTTGTAGTTTCTCTCATATTTGCAAGTTTTTTGAGCTTTTGACACTATTTTCTAGTTGTCTTTATATCTCTTTTGAGACTTTTTAGCTCTTTATTTTCTGGTTGTAGTTCTAGAAGTTCTGGTGTTCCTTTTTTTTGGGGAGCGTGTTTTCGGCTGTTTTTTGAATAGCTTTTTGTATTATTTTTCACATTTCATTTATGTTGTCATCTTCTAGTAGATCTGTTTTATTGAGTGCCTGGTGTTTATTGTTTCTATCTTTTTTGAATGATTTTTTAAGTTCTTTTTCTAGTTTTTCTTTGTGTTGCCTTAATCTTCTTCTGTTATCTTTTTAAAGTCTATACTAACTTTGCCTCGATCCTTCTTGTGGAGCCTCGCAAAAGAGATTTTTCTTTCGTGGAGCCCTGTTTTTACTTTGGTTAATAGCAGCTTGTAGTTGCTTGCTGTTATTTGTTCTGCATTATATATTTTGACTACTACTACTAAATTTAGACTCTAGCTTCGTGATATTCAAATATAATTGATTTTGGTTTTACTTTCTCATCTAGCCCATGTTGTTATATGACTTTGGGGATTTGCTGTTTTGAGTGCATCAACCATATTTTTTTTTCTAGAAGATCTAGGATTTGTCTCTTTTTGTTTCTGGGTCTTTGTAATATCAGTTTGCCTTTTTCTTTTTATGTTTCTTTTTTTTTTCTTCTGCTTAGATATCTATATTAAAATCTTCCAGGATTATAAGTTTGTTTGGTTTGCGATCTTGACACTCTAATTTTTCTTTTAAAGCCTTGTAAATTTCCTCTTGTATTTTGGGTTATTTGGTACTACATATAATGCTATAATATATATTCTTAGTCTTTTAAAATCTAGCCTTATTTCTAATATATATAGGTTAATGTGATTAACTTTAGAAATGTGATTTTCCCATTTTTTTTCTATAATGATTCCTACCCCTGACCTCTTGTGCTTATATTCTTCTGCTGTTGCCCAGAAACTGTGATACTTTTTAGAGTTTTTAGTGAGAAGTTCTTCTCTTTCAGAGATATTTGTTTCTTCAATAAAATCTAAAATTAAGTCAAATTTGCCTTTATTTACTTTGAGCCTGTTTATATTGTGATATCAAATGTTTAGTCTTTCTAAATTGTCTAAGTTGTCTTGAAGAGGTTGGTTATTGTCTATATGTTGTATAAGCAGGCCTTCTGTCTTGCATTGGCTTTCTTGTGTACCTGCAGCTACTTTTAAAAGTTTAAAATGACAAAAAGAGTTATAAACAAAAACCTCTTGGAAAAAATACGTCATGAAAGTGATAAAGTCTGGGAACTCAAAATACTGAAGCAATATCTGTCTCTCAAGAAACCAATGTATAAAAATATGCAATTAAATTGCTCTCTGCTTATTGAAAATATAAAAATTCAGTCCTTAGAAGAAGAAATCATAAAAAGTGAAGTTCAAGATGCAGATATAATAAGAAAGCTACAAGAGAAAACATGTTTGCTCCAAGGAGAAAAAGAACTTATTTTCTATATGGACAGCTCCTGGCTTAATCCTAAAGAACAATATGATGAAGCGAAAATAGAAGCAGGTTGGGTAGTATTTAAAAAAAAGAAAGAAGTAAAAGATCTAATAACAGACTTTTTAGTACAATAACTAATTGGCCTTCATCAATAAGAGCCAAACTAGGAGCCATAGTAACCGTGCTATTTGCAACATCTAAAGATGCAAGGGTTATGATAGTAACAGATAGTGCTGCAGCAATACAAGCTATTAAGAAAAGTCAACAAATACTCAAATTAAGAGAAGGGCTTAAAATCAAGAATAGAAGTATTCTGTGGCAAATACAAAGACTTAAAAAAATTAAAAGTATAGATCTGTGTATAAAAAAAATTAAAGAGTATAGCAACATTTGGAAAAATAACTTGGCAGATAAGTTAGCAAAAGAAGAAGCTGAAAAGGAAGCAGTTTTGGAATTTAAAGACCTATAGAGCAGTCTGTCCAAGGCTACAGTAAGATGAAAAAACTTAAGCCTAGATAGTGAGTTAAGAAGTAGTATAAACAAGATAGTTTTAGAGTATCTTGATATAGAGTAGGCAAATTTAGAATGCAACAAGAGGTGGTTTGAACAAAAAGAGGAAAAAAATAAAATAGTATGGTAGGAAACATAAAGGGATATAGACAAATTTAAAGAAAGAAATTGTATGAGTACAGAAAAAAATAAAGAATGTATATTTAGAATTAAGTATTTAAATGAAACCCTACCAACACTAGACAAACTTAACTAGAGAAATCTAGCTTTATATAAATCTAGTACATATATAGCGTGCATAGAGGAGACAGAAACACAGAATCATCTAGCAACTAGTACAATATATCAAAATATCTGAAACAGAATAGAGAACGAAATAAGTGATAAAATAGCCAAAAAATCAGAAAAGAAAAGAATTCAATAGATTTTTCCTAGAAAAAAATAAAAGAAAAGATTTTTGGGCAAACTATAGCTAAAAAGAAAGAAATGAGAAAAGAACTGATAAGAGGTCTTATAACTAAAAAGAGAAAGAGGGACCTCGAAGAGTTATGCCAAGATTAGACAGAAAGAAGAAAATAACAAACACTTTCTTAGGTAGCTTTAAAGAAAAGTTTCAGAAACATATCTGAAATTTCAGATGTGAGAATGTAGTAGAATAGAAAAAAGATCATGGTATAAAGAAGGCAGAAAAAAGAAGAAAAAAGAGCTTAAAAGAGAAGAAAAACCAAATCATTCTAGATAAAGAAAACAAAGACCCAAACATCACAGATAAAAAAACAGGAAAATTCAATAATAAAGATCAAGAAAATGAAAATGCCAAAAAAAAAGAAGAAAAAGAAAATTCAGAGAAAAGAAAAAAAGCCTAGGTGACCCAAAACATTAAAGATTGGATAACCAAAAATATAAAACCAGAGTGGTCATCCTAGAACAAGTCTAAAATACTAAAATAAGTAGCGCTCTTGACATGGCATATAGTAGCCAATCAAAGATTCTGGAAAACAAGTTTTCAGTAAGTTGAAAACCCTGAAGGAGATAAACGATCATAATGGCAGGTCGCACCTAGGTACCTAGTATCGAGTGAGTCTTAATTTGGTTAGGTAGTAGATAGATGTTAATTTTATAATATAAATTATTAGTCTTGATACTTTAATAAATAAAGGCAAGATCACCAAAAAAAAAAATAATAATAATAATATAATTTATAATATTATATTAAGAATAATAGATCTAAAGCTAATACGTATTTAAAAAAATATATTAAAAAATTGTAAATTATTTTTTGCTAATTAAAATTTAGAATTAGATATGATATATAAATTAATTTTATATAACAAAAACAAAGAATTTTTTAAAAAAATTTTTATATCTCAAAATTTTGTTTACAAAACTACTTTTTGAGCTCAAAAATTTTTTTTTTTAATAACTTTATACTAATTTATTAAAAATTTGTAATTTACAAAATTTACTAACTATATATTAAACAAATATCTGGCTACTTTAATAGTGCTCAAGTATAGTTATTGCACTAATATTTGCTAATAAGTTTTATATATAGTGCTATCTATATTTAAAAACCCACTATAAAATAGTATTTAGTTATTATATTAGAACTAGAGTTCTGTAATCTGATTTGATTTGATTTAATTTAATTAAATATTTGACTTCAAATCAAATTCAAATATAGAAATTTCAAATCAAATCAAATTCAAATTAATAAATATTTGATTTAATTTAATCAAATATTTAAAATATTTGATTTGATTTATAAAGTTATAATTAAAACTATAATTACAATAGCTATTTTCTCAAAAATTTATTATGCTAATTATCTCTTTCGTTCTATTAAACAAGAGGTATTTTGGCCTACAAAATATTTCTTACTTAGTATATAAAGTTAATTAATTTAATAAGATTTTGTATAAATTGAAGATTTTGAAAATAGCAAAATTTTAAAATTTTTAAAAACTTCAAATCAAATCAAAATTCAAATATAGATTTTTTAAATCAAATCAAATTCAAATATAAATTTTTCAAAATAAATCAAATTTAAATATACTTAATATTTGATTTGATTTGATTTTGAAAAACCCTAATTTGTATAATAGCAGAAAAATATAATAAGTTTTTTGTCAATTATATTTACTAAATTAAATTCTTTATTAACCAATAACTATATTTTTTTAAAAATTTTTTTACAATTTATTACTATTTTATTTACTAAACTCAAATATACTAAAATTTTATATTTTTATAATTATTTTTTATACAAAATTAAAAACTATTAATTTTTACTTTAAATATTTTAAATTTACTTTTGCTATTATATTTTTTTTTTAATAAAAATAAAAAATATTTTACTATTAAATTTTTTAATAGATTTAATATTTTGCTACTTTATAATATTTCTAAAACACTTTTTATACAAATTCTTTATTTTATATTTTGAAAAGATAAATAAAAAAAAAAATTATACTAAAATGCTAATAATATTATTAGCAGAATTAACAAGCTACTAACTGAATTTAAGTATCTAACTTGATTAGAGTTGTATATCTTGTTCACTTTACTAAAGCAGAGATATTGTTAAAAATAGAAAATTTTAAATATTTGTTTATTATATTTTGGTGAGTTTATTTTTAGAAAATAATAATTACAGTTGTCCTCTTCTATAATAATGTATTTGTTTTATATAAAAAAAATATGATTATAAAATTTTAATAGTAATGTGATTATATAGAGTTTTTTTAATAAATATATTGCCAATAATTTTTCAAAAAA